GTTCACCAATTTTTGGAAAAAGAGGGATGAAAAGACAAAAAATAGAAAACAAGCTGAACTTGTTTTGGGGTGTTTTAGAGACAAAAGAAGGAAACACGAAGAACACTCCAACTCGTTAATGAGGTCTCCCATTTGAACCTTCCTAAGAGTAAAAGATATCCTACTATAAAATTTTTTTTTTTTTTGGCCTTTGACAGAATTTTGTTTGCATTTTTTTTTGTCCCTCTTTCTCCACTCTAGTGAACCAGACGAAGAACACACACCAGATTTCAAATCTAGGTTTTCTCCGATGTTGGCTCCAAGGACGGTTCCAACATCGATTTTCTCTCTCTCTCCAATGTCGGTGTTTAGTAGTTTTCTTTTGTTAGGTTTCCTTCAGATTTGGGTTCAAATTTGTGTTGATTTTCTTTAGATCTGGGTTGATCTTCATTAAATTTGGGTTGAATATCAGATCTATCTTCTTCTTTTTTACTGGTTATAGATTTGACTCTCTATTACTTTATTTTTTTTCCTATCAAATGTGTTGATTGTGGTTGGTGACTTTTTTTATTACTAGTAATAGATCTTGGGGTTCAAATTTGTGTTGATTTTTTTTTTTATTTTTTTTTATTTTTTTGTCCATTTTCAATTTATTGGTGTTTAATTTTTTGATTTTATATATAAATTGATTTATGGCGTTATTGTCTTTTAAAAAATTTTTTTTGGTGTTTGATTTATATATTATATATATAAATTGATATTGAATCTATTATAAAGTGATAGTGAAAATTTAAATATAAATTGGTTTATTTTAAAGTTTGGTTTGTTGAATTTTTTTTTATGAAACTGTCCATCTAAAAATTACTTTCTCATATTTTTTTAATTAATTTTTAAATTATTGTCCAAATATATATCTAAACTGTCCAAACATATTTTAATGTTTTCTGTTCTGTAAAATTATTTTTAAAATTATTTAACCAAACAAATTCTTTATCTCAAAAAATATCAAAACACAATTTCTTAAAACTCTTTTCAAAAACTATTATCGATTATTATTTTTCGAAACACAAACTAAATATGCCCTTGGGTTCTATTGAAAGTGCGTTTCAAACACACACTTTCGTGCCAGTGGCTGATCTGGGAGCCGTCTCTCCCATTCCCACACTTTGTCTCTCTTATTTCATTCACACACTTCCTATCAATCGAAGAAGACCCCAAACCCAACAAAATGAGCTTCTCAGCCAGAGCAGTGTCTACAAAATAAGACTTTATCAGTCAAACAAGGGCCAAAACCAACAAAACCCAACACAGCACAACTGTAACAGAATCACACACATCCACACATAGATTAATTCAATTACGACAAAAAAGTTGACTTGATAATTACAATAATTGATTTCACTCTAAAAAAACTTGATAAAAGTGCTTAATGGACTTGAGTGACTTCTCATTAAATGTTTTTTTTTTTAAAAAAATAGTATTTAGAAATACTTAATTATATTACTTTACAATAAGTGAAAAATAGTTTTACCACTTTAATAAATTAATAAGCAGAAGACAAAAAAACTTTTAATTTTCCAAAAAGGAGTTAGTTACACAAGGTGCTTATCATTTTTACATGTATGATGCCACCAACAATCACGTACCACCAACACTCTAATACTATCATATATTGCAGCTACCACTATCCATCTCTATCAACACAACCCATCGTACCTCCATCACCAACCACCATCCATCGTCATTGTTTCTACTTCTTGTTTTTTTTTGTTCAATGGTCAACATCGTTGCTACCTTCACTACATCGGGATACCAATAATGCCGTCACACCAATATCACCATATGTAGCCGCCGCACCTCTCACTACCACCGCCAATCACCCCAATTTTTGCCACCACTAAAAACCAGCCACACACCACCACCACTCACTATCTGGTGTCACCAACACCCATTAACCACCACCAACACACACTACCTCCACCATCCTCCATAACCCACACTTGTCCCCACCACCACCACCAACCATCATTCATGCACCACTACCACTTTCTACTAGCCACAATTTTGCGCCACCAATACTACTAGAATTGCCAACACCTCCACTACCCACCACCAACGACCACCCATTGCTCCCCACCACCATTGCTACTGTGACAACACCCACTACCCTGGGCCCCTTGCCATTACCCACCATTAACCACCACCACCACTTGCTGTCACAATGTGTGTGAGTGTGTGTGTGCGCGTGCGCATATGTGCATTCTGGGGTATATTAGTATTACAACATTGATAAGAAATTTTTTTGAGTATCTAAGCACATTTTTTTATAAAATATTTTTTTATTTAAGTGTTCTTTTAACATCCTAAACGGAGTTTACTAAATATTTTTTAAATTTCATAAATCATCCTAAATGTTACCTAAGACAGTGTCTTGGAGGAAGAGTGGGGTATTTGATTAAAAGTACAGGTTAGTAACCTTCAATTCATTGCAGTGTTGGTTTTGATAGCAGTGTCAAGGGAGTTGACAGGCGATCCCAGTTTTGTGTGAGTTGGGAGTGATCATGGGGTTAAGGGGGAGGGGTGATATGGAGTTGACACCCAAGTCCACCATTCTGAACATAGTATCATTACAGAAGACTAGGAGTGTTACAGTGCCTAGGGGAACTAGGGAGGAGTCCCATGAAGAGGCTCAAGAGATGCTTATGGAGGAGTAGATTGATCAGTACTTGAATTTTGGGGAGAATGAGGATGAACCGATTGATGAGGAGACTGACGCCCGCACCGATAGGCATTTCATCCCCTCCTCTTGATCAGTGCCCGTGATCATTTTGGTCCCTCTTCCTAGTGTGCATGTCCCTGAGGTGTCCCGGTCCCAGTCATTTATCCCCTTCTTGTTTGAGTCAGTTATTTTTTATTGTTGTGGTTGAAACACTTGGTTTAATATTTTACAATTTAGTTTATAGTAGTTAGATAAATTAATGGGAGTTTTATTTTTTGTTAGTATGGTACACTCTTAACTTTTTCAGTTTTATGTAGGTGTCTTGTTTATCTTTTATGTTATTGTTAGTTTTTATTATTAAATGCTTGAATCATGCTTTCATTCATAAATTATCGTTGGGGATTTGGGAATGATTAGCTTACCTATGATTTGAAGCTATTTAAGTGTAACATAGAACTTTACTCTATATTTTCATATCTAACCTTATATTTTTATGAGAAACTCAGAATTTGTACACTTATACTATGCTAAGTACAAAATTCATTAGGTGATCTCATACTTGGAGAACTTGAGACACATAGTGGAGATGAATAAGAATTATTTTATTCAACTAATTTTTTATTGAATAATATCATTTTCTTATTTTTGATCAATGTTATTAGATTATATAATTGTCTATATTTCAGATTTGCTTATACTTGAAGTACATATACCATTAATTCTTAAGATATTATCTTACGCCATCCTTGTATTGACCTGAGCTTTAGCTTTGTTTTTTTTTTTTTAATATCATTAACCCTAGAAGTCGTAATTGATGCTTGTTTTTTTATTTTTTCTTAACCATATATTGACCAAGTTAGTTACCTATAATTTTGGGCATACTTCCAGAGCAACAAGGTTTCTACACCAAAATGCGATTCCACCAAAAAAACTCTATCCCCCCAAAACCATAGCCTTCTTTGGCGTTGCATCATGTAGCTTTAGAGAAACTCCATCGTACAATGGCACGAAAAAACCCCAGTTCTTCCAGCACATTTGGATTTTGTAAATTCCTTGTGACACCCTTTTCTTCTTAGTTTTTTCAAACTTCAATTTCTACCCCCCCCCCCCCCCCGTTTGTTTATTTCCCTCATTAAAAACTTAGATATATGGATTTGGGGAAGGAGACTTTGATTTCCCCCATCGTCTCTACCTCCAAGAGGGATCAATCGTCAGAAGGACATATTAAGGTATTTTTCAAGGCTACTGAAGACGTGGTGAGCAGCCCTTCCAGGTTCGAAACAGAGCAATCAAAGACAAAAGAAATAGACCATTCCAACACTAGCAAGGAACCTACGAATGCTGAAGTAAGGAATTTACCAAGTCCCATTGAGAGTGATAATGAAGAGAGAGTACAGATACTTGTTGCTGAAAATGAGATGCTTAAGCAACTTATGGAAGCATAGAACCTCACTAGCAGTTAAAATTACCCTAGAGGTAGAGGTAATTGAGGTGGTCGTAGTCGAGGTCCAGTTAGAGGAGGAGGTAGAGGTGGATATAACAGGTACTCTGGGAATGAAATGGAGGCCTCACCAACAAAAAAAGAGCCTTCAATGCATGGGGAAAGTTTTCAAGAACCTCTAAACTCAACTAAGCAAGATACAAACATAAGTAATCCCCAAACAATAGTTAATGAGAGGGTGAAAAGGAATCAAGCCCTACCAAAAAATGGACTATCATGGGCTAATAGGGTCATGATGGATCCCAAATCTAAGATTGAGATGAAATATATATAACTCCTGAGAAATGCACTGGGAGGATCATGGTCCAACCTCATAAGGAGGTGGCCCAAGAGGGGTGTTCAAAGTGGAATGCTAGTATGGTTAGATATTTCATTGGTAAAAAATTACCCTTTCAACTAGTAAAGGCTTCTATAATGCGTATGTGGAACCCCACAGGTTTATTTGATGTTTCAGCAAATGAAAAAGGATTTTATTTCTTTAGATTCTCAAGTGTGACAAACTGAAATGAAGTTTTAGAAGCAAGTCCATGGCATATAGGAGGACAACCCATTATCTTGAGAAAATGGAAACCCCTTATGAAGCTATCAAAAGAAGCTTTGGACAAGATACCTGTGTGGGTTAAATTCTTTAATATTCCAAATGAATATTGGACCCCAAGTGGCAACAACTATATTGCAAGCGCCATTGGAAAACCCCCCTATATGGACAAATTAACAGAAAAGGGAAGTAGAGCAAATTTTACAAGAATTTATGTTGAAGTTGATGCATAGGAACCCTTGGTAGAAGCCTTTGACTTAATAATGGAGGGTGAAAGAGAGGAAGATAATGTGTCAGTAGAGATATCGACGGAGTATCAATGGAAACCTATAAGATGTGGAAAATGTGAAGTATTTGGGCACATATGTCCTAGAGATACTGTGATTGTTGAGAATCATCCTGTTGGTATTGGAGAGGAGTTAGCAAATTTTGCTGCCAATGAACTTGCATTAATTCCCACGAGTGCAGATGAAGGTCAAGCTTCGCAAAGTGATAAAGGGAAAGCTAGGGTTGGAGAAAATCATCCTAGAGGAGCAGACGGATGTCAAAATATTGCATTACTAGGGGCGTTGGGGGTAGCTCCATCAAATCCCCGAACCAGTTTGCATTTCTAGAATTGGTTGAAGAAGATAGTGACATGAGTGATTTTGAATCTCCTAAACTGAGTGACATGATTGATAAAATCAGAGCTATTGATGAGGTTGAGAAGTTGTTATCTTCTTCAACCAGGAAAAGACAAAGGAGGGGTAAAACGAAAGGAAAACAAGCCTCGAACCTTGGCCAAGTTATCCTTCATAAAGGATTGGGTTCCCTTTCAAAACCTAGTTCTAAATGATAGGCATTCTTTGCTGGAATATTTGGGGGGCTAAACAACCCTCTACAGCAAGCAGAAGTAAGGAGAACTATGAATATGCATGGTGTTGAGTTGTGTAGTTTGGTGGAAACAAAAGTTAGAAGTATACAATCTGAAGGGGTGTTTAGATCTATGCTACCAGGATGGAGTATGCTTAACAATAATGACTCATCCCCTAGGGCAAGAATATGGGTGTCTTGGAACCTAACTATTTTGGATGTTCAACTGATAGAGCAACCTGACCAGGTGATTCACTATAGGGTGAACATTTTTGCTCGACAAATTATAATTTTTGTTTCCTTCAATGTGAGACCCGATCATGACATATTAGCATAATTATGTGGACTAATTGTAATTATGTTAAATTATTTATTAGATAGAATTTTTTGTATGAAAATAGTATTGAGTTAATTTTGAAATCACTTCAGAATTTGGGGGGAGACAAGCAGAATTATTAAAGTTTCATGAAATATCTTTACACATGTGTCAAACATAAGGTGGTGGGTCATTTTGAAAAGGTCAATTGCATGTGTGTGTATACTTTAATATGTAGTAAAGTGAGTGTGTTTAAAATACAAACAAGTGTGTGTGTTCTGGTTTGTTGAAATCGTGAGTGAGGGAGAGTAAAAAAGAGGAAGAAGAAAGAAAAAAAAAAAAGAAATAAGAATTTGGGGGATTCCATGCCAAACCAAAAGTAAGAAGAAAACAAGAAGAAGATAAGGGGGTGTGTGTGTTCATTTTAGTATGTGTGTGATTAATTTTAAGTATTTGTGTATATATGTGGGCTGTTTTAGTTTGATTTCAAAATAGGTTTTTTGTGGGTTTATTTAAGGGTGTTGAACATTATTTATGGGTTTTGAATGGGTATTCAATTAGATGCGATAAAAGTATGGAAAATGACCCTTTGAGATGTTCAGTATATTTTTCGAGGGCTAGGATGGAACCAAAATTATAGGAGTGAATGGAAGAGTTTAAGGGTGCAATTAGAGGCTGATTTGCATGAGTTAGGGAGTGTGTGAGTTTAGGTACAATTTTTTTAAAAGAAAGTACGATAAAAAATTGGAAATGGGTGTCGATAATGCATAAACATTGATTTTTAAATGTTATTATCACTTGTATGAATTTTAATCCAAATGACCTGAAATTTCATATGCTGCATTTTTAAATGATTCTTGATGTGATAATGTGACTTTCGAATGCAAATAAAAATGATATCTAGTGCGGAAGGTATGAAATGTCGAAAGTGCAGTTTTTAGGATTTGGGGTGGAACTGTGTAAAAATGGGCCCCCGTTAATGTGTTTGACTTACTAAATCTTAATTATGATTAATTTGAGTGATTTTGAAGATTTGGGAAAGAAATATGATCCATAAATCTAATGTGCAAATATGTGAGAGAACAGTGCGGTAATCAGGGTTACCGAGGCACTTTGGGTAGAATCATCTTGCATGCATATAGAGACAGATACAAAAACATCAAAGGGATCCACTGGTAAGTCCAAAGGCTTGTAGCTCTATACACTTGAGGTGGGTATATATCTTTAAAAATGATATTATAAGATGATATTAAATGACAAAATTTAATAGCATTTCTCCAAGATTATGTGGTATACGCTTATGTGATTGAATGATGATTTGTATTGTGTATTGTGTATTGTAGAATGTGTCACACTATTTGAGACAGGAGCGTCGATGTCTGATCACTGGGCGTGCAACGGTGTGCTAGCACTATGGTGTTCCTGGGAGGTTCGGGAGACATGGATTCATATAGGATCGATTACCTAATGAGGGGTAGTATGGATATGTTGTGGCTTGTGAATGCTTTGGAATTGGATTGATATTGTTGTTTGATACGTGTATTTATGTAGTATTACTTATTTCTGTGTATTACTATCATTTTTATTTTATATACTATACTCACTGAGCACGTGGTTTAATTCACACCCCTATAGGTCCTCTTTTTCATGTATTATAAAGGGAATTACAGATCAGTCTATTGTCCAGTGGATTGAGTACTGTCTAGTGAATTGAATTCAGTCTGGAATAGTTCAGCGAAGTTGGTATGATATTACGCAGGTTGTATATTATATTGAATGAGAGATTGTTATAATAGGTTAATGATGTATATATATATATATGAATAAACTCAACAAGCAAACTTTGTGATGTATGCTATGTAGGTGTGGGATTTTGTACATGAATATAACCTGAAAAACAAAAATGGCACATGTGTTACATATGACAAAAGTTATAAAATAGGTATTATCATCATGTTTAATGACTAAGGTGATGGTTGATGTTGTTGCACCTATGAAATTAATTGGTATTTTATTAATCTAGATTATATAGATACGTAGACAGGTGTTTCAAAAACCTAGTCGCGTCTCATCCTTGGGAGACTAGGATGGGGCATGACATTCATATATGCTCATAATGATGTAGAGCTTAGGAGAGAACTATTGGCAAACCTAAAATTAAGAGCGTATGCAATGAAGGGAAAACCTTGGGTTCTTGCAGGGGACTTCAACATTGTGAGGTTAGTAGAAGAGAAGTTTGAAGGATGCCAAATCTAGGATAGGGGTATTGAGGAGTTTTGTGAGTTTATGTTTAAAGCTGGGGTTGATGATCTCAAATACTTTGGAATCCAATTGACATGGTGCAATAAGAGCCGTGATGGAGAAGTTATAGCTAGAAAATTGGATAGAGTACTAACAAATGAGACTTGTAGTAATGAGTTTCCACTGTTTGAAGTAGAGTTTCTTACACTAGGTGTTTTTGATCACTTTCTTGCACTGATAAAAATGGGAAGGGACTTGAACAAATGCAAAAAGCCTTTTAAATTTTTTGATTTCTGGACAAAGAACCCATCCTTCATTCCTACTGTATCAAGAGTTTGGCAACAATAGCATAGGGGTTTTCCCTTGTTTCAATTATGCAAAAAGCTTAAAGAGTTGAAGACTGAGTTAAGAGAACTGAATAAGAAGGAATATAGTGACATTTTAATCAAAGTTATTGAAGCAAGACATCAGCTTGATAAATAAAAAATTGTCTCGATCGAAATCTATTGGACCAGAGCTTGAGGGATTGGAAAGGGAGAAACTATAGAACTATATCAAGTTAAGAGAAGCTGGAGAGATTTTTGCTAAACAAAAGTCTCGTGTACAGTGGCTTAACTTGGGGGACCAACACACAAGTTTCTTCTATAAATCACTAAATTGAAAGAATGCAATGAGGAAATCATTTCAATTCAGAAAGAAGATGGTGTTGAGATCACAGACCTTGCTGAAATTAAGGCAGATACTATACAATATTTTAAGAATATTCTTTGCACAACCCAACCTGTTCAACCTACGGTCCAAATGCAATGGATTAGGCATTACATTAAGAATAGGCTTTCATATGGTTGATCAAATTGGGCAACCGGTAACAAGAGAGTAGATTAAAAAAGTCATGTTTTCTCTTAAAGATGGAAAAGCTCCATGCCCAGATGGCTACACATCAACTTTTTTCAAAAAATCATGGAATATTTTAGGTGAAGAGATTATTGATGCGATTCTTGCTTTCTTTAGAGATGGTAAAATGTTAAGAGAGCTCCACTCCACCATAATTACCCTCATTCCAAAAGTACCCAACCCATCCACCCTTATTGACTACATGCCAATACTTGTTGTAACACACTTTACAAATGTATCTCAAAAATTATTGCTAATAGGATACAACTTGCACTATTGCAGTTAATTGACAAATCTCGAATTGCTTTTATCAAGAGGAGAAGAATATTTGACAATATTCTATTGCCACAAGAGCTTTTGAGGAATTATCACCTTGGGTGGGGGAGTCCCAGGTATGCTATGAAGATTGACTTGATGAAAGCCTATGATAGTGTGAGATGAGACTTTGTTTTGGAAGTGATGAACAAGATGGGTTCCTCGATAGGTCATTCAATGGGTGGAGGCTTGTATTAGCACTCCAATATTTTCTATAAGCATAAACGGTGAACTTAATGGATATTTTTAGGGGAGGAAAGGGCTCAGGCAAAGGGATCCCATGTCCCCATATCTCTTTGTTCTTGTCATAGAAGCTTTTACTGGTTTAATGAAAGCAACCATTCAAACTGGGAGATTCCAATTCCATTGGAGGTGTAAAAAGGAGGGGATTTCACATTTGTGCTTTGCTAATGATATCTTGGTTTTTAGTAGAGGTACAATTGAATCAGTGAGAGTTATTAAGGATGTTCTTCAAAATTTTGAGAAGTTTTCAGGGTTGAAGACTAATGAAACAAGTGTCAGATTTTTTTTCTGGGGTAGAAAATGAAATCAAAGAGAGTATAGTACAATATTTGGGGTTTGACGAAGGAATGCTGATAGTTAGGTACCTTGGAGTGCCTCATATCAACACAAGATTAAGGGCCACATATTGCCATGCTTTAATTGAAAAAATCACTTATAAGATTAGAGTTTGGACTTGCAAGTTTCTATCTTATGCAGGGAGACTCCAATTGATTAATTCAATCTTGTTTACCATTCAAGTCTACTGGGCATCCATATTTATTCTTCCAAAGGGTGTGGTTGAATATATGAAAAAATTAATGAAAATATTTTTATGGTCAAGAAGTGAAATTAGAGCTAGCGGTGCAAAGGTGGCTTGGTCTACTGTGTGCCTTTTCTTGGAGTTAAAAGCATAGAAGCTTGGAACAAAGCAACTATGACAAGGCATTTATGGCATGTTATCAAACCACAAGGGATCTTTGTGTGGGCCTCATGGGTAGAATCTTACCTATTGAAGGGGAGAAGCTTTTGGAGTATTAGGATCCCTTAAAACTCATCTTGGTCTTGGAGGAAAATTCTTCAAATGAGAGACTAATGTTTACCCCTAATTAGATATAAGATTGGCGATGACAGATTAACTTTCTTATGGTTGGATACATGGCATCCAAGTGGTACTATTTATCAGAGCACATGTGAGGCAATCATTAATGGCTCATAATTGGACAAAGAAGCTCGAGTTAGCAGTATTGTTAACAATTCACAATGGGTGTGGCCTAATATTGCAAGTGAGGAACTACTGGATGTGCAAAGAGAGATTCCTCCTAGTTGGAAACCTGACTTGAACCTAAAAGATAATGTGCTATGGTAGCCCAATTCAAATTCTTACCTTTTTTCTACTCAGTCTGCATGGGAATGTTTTAGGGTTAAAGGGCATCAACGAGTCTAGTCCAAGATTGTTTGGTTTCCTGGAGCAATTCTAAGATTTAACTTTATTATGTGGCTTGTTGTGCAGGAAAGATTACCAACGCACGATAAACTTTTGGATTATGGTATCTTACACATGACCTCTTGTGTTTTTGGTCATAGAGATGTGGAAAGCCATAAACATTTATTTTTTGCTTGTTCTTTTACTAGGAAATTGTGGATGTCACTACAAATTAAGTGTAATGTACAATGACTAGGTAATGTGTGGAAAGGTTTTGTACAATGATTTGCAAGGAAAATGATAGGGAAAAAGTTGAGTAGTGTGATTGGAAGATTGATGTTGTCCACTTTTGCATATAAGGTTTGGATGGAGAGAAACCAGAGAACTTTTAGAAACTCTTGTAAGGATGTTACTACTATTTACAATGACATTGTACACTGTATTAGACAGAAGCTTAACTTTCACAGAGGGGTGGGGAAAACTCTCCCTAATTTGTGGCTCCAAAGGCAATGGTCCCTCCCATATTCGATTTTTGAACCGCCTTAATCTGGTGGATTTGATGATCTGTTCATGCTAGTTTTCTGCTTGAACTCTTTTGAGGAGCTGGGGATTTGGTTTCTGGCTGCTTGCTCATGGATTACTGGTTGGAGAATTCCTCTTATGGATTTTGTTGTTGGGATGCCACTTCTTTGTCTAGAAGACCTAGCATCCCTTTGCCCCATCTTTCTTTCTGTCCTTTGGATGTCAAATGTTTCTCTTGCTTGTTGCTGGTTTTTATCTAGTGGTATTGTGAGCTGGTTGCTAATTTTTGCTGGCACTTTATTGCTGAGTGTTGTGTTCCATGATGCTGATGTTGCTGCTTTTGGGCTGTTCTTTGTGCATATTGGTTTTCCTTTGTTTTGTGGATGGAGGATCTTCTTTGCTCCTATTCAAAAGATCAATCATCTTGTTGAATTTTCTTTTGTAAATTGTACATGAACCTTTTTCGGTTTTTATGATATTCATTCTACTTAAGGAAAAAAAAAAGTTAGTTACATATAAATATGTCATTACAATTAGTTGTCTTGAGACTTGGCATGCAATTGATGGAAGTGTAAGGAGAATTTAAAAAAAAAAAGGGAGTTGAAAGGAAGAAAGCAATAAATGAACTTATTTATACTCTTTTAGGTTGATATTGAAAACAAAAAGGTGAAAAAATGAGAAGTTTGAAGAAGAAGAAGAAAAAGAAGAGAGGCTTATGATTTTATGCTTGAATGTTGATAAGAGATGAGCAAAGTTGAAGAAAATATGGTTTGTTGAAAAAAGCAAAAAAGAAAGGAGTCCAAATAAAACGTGTCAAGATAATAGCTCTTTTGGGTTCTCTAATTTCCTTCATTTCTTGAGCCCTTATCCTAAGCCATATTACAACCATAATAAAGGCCTATTTGATTTCAAGAGAAGGATGGCATGTCTTTCGATATTTATGAATAGAGATGGGATATGACAATTGTAATTGTGCTACTTAGACATTGGTATTACATTCTTGAGATTAGGTTAAACTTGTTTTTTCTTTTTTTTTAACAGTGGTCACTTGGAATACATGTGAGTAATATATTGTTTTGTATCTAATAATCTCACCTCACATGTGCTAAATTGAACGAATAGTTACCATAATCTAAGTGGGTTCCATGATGAGAGCACCATCTGGTGAGGATTGTATTAAAGCTAGTTGTAGGAGTGGAGAATTGCTAAGTGTTTTTCTAGCTTTGCATAGGTGATTTACATTACACATAAGTTTCTTGTACAAACTTAATGTTTGAATGTTTAGGTATAGTATTTAGTTCTATATTTTGCTTTGCAAGTGCCTAACAAATCTTGCTACTGAAAGTTTTCAAATTTTGATGGTAGTTTACGATATAATTAAATGATTTAAATATTTAATAACAAACTAATGTTTTTGAGCAACATCTTTGAAAAATCTCACAAGACTACAACTTGTTCATTAAGGATAACCTAAGGGTTTAAAGAATTTTTTTTTTGGAAAGTAAAATGTATTAATAGAGAACCATGTATACAAGGGAAACACCCAAGATGTACAGAGAGTCCCATAGGACTCAAAGTCAAATAACAACCCAAAAAGCCAAAACCCCAAAAACGCAAGTTTGTAAGAGATGCCCTGGTTGAAGGTATCCCCCACAGAATTGTTAACAAAAGTATACATTGGAAACAAAATAGAAAAGACAGCTAAAAATTTTCGAAAGTCCAGATGCAAACCAGAAGAAATGAGCTAGTTAGGTCAGAAACCCCAGCGGCATCAGAAGTTGAAGAGGCTCCAAATAAGTAGTAGGTCATTCCAATGCTGCCCAGCAAGCCAATCAACAGTCAGCATAAGAGGCTGCATTGGGGAAAATAACAACAGGGACATCCCCTCCAACAAAGGCAGATGCAGGGAACCAAGAGAGGAAGAGCCATCGATCCCCCATAAAAGCAGCACATGAACATGGTAAAGAAGCCAACAGAGCAGCACCATGAAGCACAAAAGGGACGAGGTTGAAGTAAGAAAGAGCGACCAACAAAGGCCAAAAGTCAGCAAGAAGAGTAGAGAAGATAGGCCAGGAAAAATAGTCCCAAGTCTTCCCATGAGAATGTTGCGTCTGCTGCAACAACTCTGTCTTGAAGGTCCACTATAGGAGCCAGAGGAAACATAGCAAAGCAAAGACATAATCCACATTACTGTCCTAGTGGAATGCCAAAGAGAAATTTACTTTTCTGAATCATGTTGTAAGCATAAGATGTATGAACCACATTGAATGAAGGAAAAAATTCAAGGCTTCAAATCCAGTAAGCACAAAAAACTTATCAGAACCCTCATCACTGCCCCTAATAAAAACAACAAGGTTCAAGAAAGCATGGGCAACATAGCCCTCCATTCGTAAACAAGCCAAGTGCAAAACTAGCAACCACAAACCAACATCTAAATGTAGGTGTAATAATAGCCCCTTCATGCAGATGGGCAAGGAGGCAAGAATAACCAACAAAGACCACCAATATAGCATGAAAACAAATCAACATAGGTCACAGACAAGGAGCACCACATGGCAAAATAGGGGAGGCCATTGGTATTAGGTGAGACAGCTAAGTGGTAGTCTCTAGGTCTAGATTATTTGGAGATTGCTATAAGAGGTTTTGTATTTGAGAGAAGCCAATCTACACCATATAGTCTGTAGGATAAGATGGGTAACAGAGATAGGGTCTTTGAACTGATTTTTAAATCTTCTATTATTCCTCTCCATCCACAAGTGGTACAAAGTGGCAGCCAAGCATAATCTGCAAATCAGAGACTTCAACGACTTACCCTTCCAATTGCAAGCAGCCCAAATGACAAAATCATTCCAAGGTTTAGGTTGCCGTAACACCCCAGCAGATGAGAGGGTAGCAGACCAAACACTAGAGGAGTAAGGGCATGCAAAAAATAGATAAGGATGCATTTCAGGAGAGGCCCTGCATTGAATACATTCAACACCTAAGTGTGCAGCATAGGATTGCATACGATCGAGGGTGCTAAGCCTGTTTCTAACAGCAAACCATAAGATGAAGCACATTTTAGGGATAGAATTCACAGACCAGACCAGATTATATGCCAAGTAACAGGAGTATCCCTTTGTCTGATATGATCCCAGGCAAATTTGGTGCTAAATCCCATACTGTCATTAAGAGTCCTCAATAGCAGGGTTGGGAAGATAAGAAGGCATGGACATAACCACATCATGGGGAATACTAGAGTATGGAGGCCATTGCCACTAGCCGTTGATAATAATGTTGTTGACAGACTCCTCCAAATTGAGATAAGGCACCTCAATACCATACAAACCAACACATAAGTCCATAGGTCCCATAGGATGCCAGTTGTCATATCAGAGTTTTGTAGTTTGTCCATTCTCAATCACATGCTTGATGAGTGGTCTGGTTAAGGACGTTAACTTAAGAAGACACAACCAGTTCCAAGAGCAAGATTGGGAGGCTTTAAGTCTCCAGAAACTTCTGCCCCTTAAGTGATAAGTATGAATCCATTCATAGATTTTGTTTATCAGCAAATAGTAGCCAAATATATCTCATCATCATAGCAGTGCTGTAATCTTTGATCCTTTTAATTCCCAGCCCACCCTCCTTCTTAGGCTTACAAACCTCTTCCCATGATACTTTGGCGTCAGTGCTTCTCAAGTTAGTCCGTTTCCATAGAAATCTCCTCATAAGCTGCTCAATTCTTTCAATGATCTGGGGAGGAAGAAATAGGTGTGCAGACCAGTAAATATGCATGCTGTAGATAATACTCTGGTTCAGAATCAGTCTACCAGCAAAGGACAAAAATCTATTCGTCCAAGAATTGATTCTTTTCTTAATTTTGATGATGAGTTCATTGCAGTGAAGGGTCTTTAATCTAGTGGATATCAGGGGAATGCCCAAGTACTTGACAGGAAGCTGGTCCATAGTGAAGCCAAAAAGATGCTTAATTTGGTCTTCAATTTCATTGTGGATAGCACTCATAAAGAGACTACTTTTAGCCTGGTTAACTTGTAGCCCAGACATTGCTTGGAATTAGTTCAAGGAATCTTTCAACACCTTGGTAGAAGAGAGGTCACCATGGCAGAAGAGCAAAACATCATCAACAAACATAAGATAAGTGAGCTTAATTTTCTTGCATCTCCAGTGAAACTTGAAAGTATCATTAGAAGAAACATGTTGCTTTATAGTAAGGGATAATATCTCCATTGCAATCACAATAAGGTAAGGGGATATAGGGTCCCTCTGTCTTAAGCCTCTCATGCTAGGAAAGAACCCAACCAGCTGACCATTTACATTCACAGAGAACTTGGGAGTAGAAATACATTGCAAAATCCATTTCCTGATCAAGAAAGGGAATCCCATAGCATCAAGAACATCCATTAAGAAGCCCTGATTGATAGTATCAAAGGTTTTCCTCAAGTCCACCTTGATTGCACACCTTGCAACACCATGATTCCTAGGATAATTTCTGAACAATTCTTGAGAAATTAGGATGTTGTCACCAATCCTTCTACCAGGGATAAAGGCAGCTTGGCTATGGTCGACAATATGAGAGATAACTTCCTTGAGCCTTGAGGCAATAAGCTTGGAGATGGCCTTGTAAATTGTGTTATAGCAGGAGATAGGTCTAAAGTCATTCATGGATGAAGGGTTAGGCTCCTTTGGTGCCAAAGTGATGATGGTCGCATTTAGTTCCTTGAGAAATATACCTTGGGAGAAGAACTCCTTTATTGTGTCAATGACCTCTTGACCAATGATTGGCCAGACCTTTTTGAAGAAATAAGGGTTAAAACCATTAGGGCTAGGAGCCTTATGGTTACTCATTGAGAAGAAAGCCTATTTGATTTCCTCATTGAAGAACTCTCTAACCATGGTCCCAGCTTGCTGATCAGAGACCTTCCTTTGGATGAAAGAGTCAAGGCTTCTCTTTCTTAAATTGGGAAGAACCTTGCACACTAGTCGCCCATGCTTGGGCTACAGTATCTAAAAAATTCTCCTTATCAGCAAGGTGGCTGAAGAACTTGAAAGGAGTCCTCCTCTTCCAAGCAATGTTACCCATCATAACAACAGCTGGAGAGTGATCAGAAACACCCGATGGAAGGAACTCAGCAGCAGCATGTTGGAATTTGGTAATCCAAACCTGATTGACAAGGACCCTGTCCAATTTTCTTGTAATAAACCTTGTCCCCTCTCTCTTGTTTCTCCAAGTATAGAGCAAGCCAGAATATCTCAGATCCTCAAGTTCAGAATCTTGTAGGCAGTCTTCAAATTTCAGCATTGCATTATTCCATTTCCTAGCACATCCCACAGATTCGCTAGGATTCCTTATGATGTTGAAGTCCCCAAGGATAATTCATGGATCATTACTGTTGAGGATGGAGTGATACCTCAAGTCATCCCATAGGGGCCTTCTATCCACCATTTCATTCATTGCATACATGATTAACCCTAATTAAGGCATAATTTAATAGGTAAATTGTGTTAGTTGAATAAAGTTAAACTAGTCAAAATAAATCAAATTAGAGTTAGTGTGTGAATAAAGGATAATACATTAATTGTTGTTCTTTTCAGGATTTTGTGTGTCAAAACTACAAACTACTGGGGAACCAATTGCATTAAAGCTACAAACTACTAGGATGTCAATTATCAAAGCTCAAAACAAAGGGGGATCAAAGAATTCAAGGCCACCTAACAAGACTTTCATGTCACCAAACAAGACTTTTCAAGGCCACCTAACAAGACTTTTACCCTCCCTTGTTGCCTATAAATACCACCCTTTAGGACTTGTAAAGCATTCATCATTTTGTAGTGAAAAACCTCCAAAAATATTATTATTTTTCTTATTGCTTATTGCTTTCTTTTATTATATTATTGCTTCCTTTTAATTTATTGTTTTTTTTTACTTTAAGTATTGCTTTCTTTTATTGTGTTATTGCTTTCTTTTACTTTCATTGCTTGAGTTTCCTTCTTCCCTTAGAGGAGTGAAACTCTTCCACTTTTCTAGAGCTTTACCAAAGCCGTGAATGGTGGAATGTAATTCGTTTATTCTTTGTCGAAAATCGGCTCCTTGTGTAAGGTGTGTTGCCTTGTAACTCCTCTACTTGGAGGGATGAGCATCACTCACTTTTCTAGCTTTAACAAAGCCATGAAAAGTGAGTAGTTTCTCATCCAATCTTTAGTAAGAGGTGATTATCCAAAAGTTGAATTTATGCATTTCTTTTATACTTAGCTTTAGTCTTTATTTCTTCATAATGTCTTCTCATCATATTGTTGTCTTTATTTTAAGCATGAATAGCTAAATCTCTTAGTTGGAAAAACCAAGAGGAACCTCCACTTGGGTATACCATTTCAACTCATTCTCCTCCCCTCTTTCAGAGTTTAATGGTTCGGTTTGACTAGGTTGAGGGTGGATAACTTGGTGAATCTTTGATATTCTGTAGGCTTAGTCACGGTTTATGCTTAGATACTCACCAATCTTATCCCTAGCTTCTCACGAATCAATCGTTCATTCATGCTCTATTGGAGGAGGGTTTCGAGTTGAGACAGTATTCCTATTGGAGTGACCTCTTGGATTTGTCAATATTTGTTTCTCATTTTACTAGCATCAAAACAACTTCACCAAATAACTTCCAACAATCAAAGATTTTACACTTTCTTTCTCCCAAATCACATTCCTCTCGGTTTACTTCCTTCCCCGTGAAAACGACATTGGAATACCACAAAGTAAAACACAATCCGAGAAAGTCTCCTTGCACTTGGGGAGCACTTTTGTTCACACATACTCACATTTGACATTTCATTCATCCATCATTCTGTTGCCCTTTCTTTTGACATCATCCCTAGGAGAGTGACACTCCTCTTCATTCATATACTATACATGCTAAAAGGTGATGTTTAGAAGTAAGGAAACAACTTTAAATTTTGTCAAGCATTTTTTGCGCCGTTACTGGGGAAGGCAAATGTCAAACCAAGAAGGTGATTTCCGGACGACGGAGGTAAGTCCCATGATTTTCATCATGGGCTGAGGTACGTTATTCCGTGTACATAATCTTGTTTGTGTATAATTTTATTTGTATATATTTTATTTTATGTGGAGGCCGAACGACTGAAACCGACTTATTAGACAAAAGTTAGCCCCTACTATGAATATTGACCAAGAACAACCCGAGGCTGCGGGTGACAATTTTGACAATATAGGTGCAAATCCAAATGTCCAAAGGGGTGGGGGAACACAAGAACCCCAAATATCTAATCCGAGAATGAATTTTCCCCTCTCGTGAATGAGGGGAATAATTTTCAAATGGATCCCCCAGTGAGGTCAATGAAGGATTTTCTACAATCAACACGAAGCACCACACCATCATGC